TTCGTGATCGCTGTCGTATTTGAAAATTCGATCCTCAAACATGTATGTTTCTAATAATATAAAAATTGTAAGAAATATAAAAACAAAAAAATAAATAAGTCAACTAATTAATTCACCTATTAAAACAGCTCGCCTGAATGGTTCAATATTATATAAACGAATATTATGTATATATAATACATAAAGATGATAGATAATGGAAGAAATTAATAATCCTCACATACCATATTATTTTTTGGTCGAAATTATTGAAAATAATTATGAATAAGAAAATATTAATTACACGAATCTTTTGATTCCCACAAGAGCGCTACTAATAATAATAATAATAATGATGATGATGATGATGATAATGATGATGATGATGATGATGACTATTATGGTAGTCGTAGAAAAAAATATTAAGGAACTAATTACTAATTGATGATAAAATTTTTATTCGCAAAATAAAATAGTAATTATAGATGATAAATTTTTTTTAAAGAAAGGAGAATGTTCAAATCATAAAGACATTTTTTCCTTCAGTCGAAACTATATACACAGTAATCATTGTTGTAGTAAATGAGAGTGAAAGATTTTTCCTGATAACATATGTGCAGGTTATGTGATATCGTGTGTTTAATATCGTAGCGGTCTGCCATCATTATCATATGGAACATAGAAGAATGGATGGCGTAAAGCTTCTCGAGCAGTAAGTCTTTGGGCTGGATCGTAATGAAGTAACCCAAGCACCAAGTCAAAGAACTGCCTGTTGAAGGCACAGGCATGAGGCTGAATTAATTCCTGATGAATACGTAATATATGGATTTTACGATTAATTCTTTATTCGAAAGATATATAACAAAAATATATAATTAATTATTGATTTTGTATGCTTACTCTCAAGCTCAAAGTCTCTCTCACATATTGTTTACTTTGACGACTTGTCTCATGATTGGGATAATTCAGTTTCCCATTTCTAAAGAATTTCGATTGGGGCTGTCGGCTGTTATATCAATTAAAAATTAACAAATTAATCAAGTAAAAAGTTAAAACATTCAAACAAACGAATATAAACTAATAATAATACCTAGCACGAATTGCTAACCTATCAGGTATTTTACCAAGCACTCTTTCCATTATTGCTAAATGCTCCAAGTTGTCATGAGTCTGAAATACTGTTTGACCAGTGAATAATTCAATGAGGATACAGCCAACGGACCAGAGATCGCAAGGATACGACCACCCAAGCCCTAAAAAAAATCAAGAAATTAACTTCAAAAATACACAATTAATTGGGAAGACAGGATTCTTATTATTACCTAATATAACCTCAGGAGCGCGATAGTGCCTTGTCTGTATAACTGAAGAGTGATACTCTTCTTCGAATGTAGCACTTCCGAAATCAATGACTCTTATATCTGAATTATAAAGTTCTCGTACTCCTTTATCTTGTCCCTTTTCATATTATATATTTATAAATTTAGGTTAGACCGCCATTCTAATAATTAACATAAATTTTCAATAGTAGAAGAACCGCCTACTTTTGATGGAACACTCCTGTAATGGTCAGTGTCCAGCAGAATATTCTCAGGCTTGAGATCAGTATGAATTAAATGCATGCTATGCAAGACTAAAAAATATTTTGTCTTAATAAGAATTATGGTGACATTAAAAAAAAGAAAAGCATACATTCTACTGAGGTCAATAGCTGTCTTGCTATATTTTGTATCTGATTCATCGGGAATGGATTAAATTCATTGCTTTTCAAGAAATCATATAATGAAGACCCAAGTAAATCGAAGACGATGCAAATATGATTACGAAAATCGAAGTAGTCGCGCAAATGGATGCAATGACTTATAGAAGTTTGAAGAATTAGATCAGAATGTAATTTAGAAAATTAAGATTCGAAAATAAATTTATGTCAACTTACTGCACGTTAAACGGATCATTTTGCTTTATACAATTGAGAACTCTTATTTCTATTTTTGCAGCATCACGGTACTTCTCTACTGCACGGATCATTTTTATTGCGACATGTGTATTGTAGGCACGGTCCCAGCATTGAATAACTTTCCCGAAAGTGCCTTGTCCAAGTATTCGTATAATTTTGTCTATGAATTTATCCATTAACTTTAGAGAAAATAATTGTTTAATAGGAAATAATAAGTTCTAAAATATACTTACATCGGTGGGTAAGATCATCACCGGGATGTACAATATAATGTCCGTCTTTGTCATCATAAACAGGAGCTTGTGGTATACCGGATGAGGTGCCGGAGGAATATGATTGTAGTGAATTATAATCATAATTATGACCCTATATTAATTAGGGCAAAAGATTAGATTGAGAGTTTCTACACTTTGAACATGTTCCATTTTCGAATATATACATTCTTTTCAAGTAAATTAAAATAATAGAACTTGTCATCCGGGCAAACAAGTCACCAGCCGATGTTTTGACTTTTTCCAATCTCAATTCTGTGTGAAATATTAGAAAGATTAGAAGAAAGACAAAACTTACGTCATTATTATTTAGATAAATATTTGTCGTAGATGCATGTGAACTTGTTGAAATGTAAGATCGATAATTCGGGCAAGGAAAGAATGATGCATCGCTATAGGTAGGATTTTTTGCTGCAAATGATGTGAAGTATGTTGTTGCATCGTTGTAAGTTGGATTATTCGTGACGAAAGTTGAAGGGAAAATAGCTGCATCGTTAAAAGCTGGATTTTTGTTTGGATATGTTGATGTGTACGTATGCTTGATTGATGTTTGTGGAGGTGGTGGTGGTGGTGGTGAGATATCAACCTTTCGTCGTCGTTTATTCACATTATTCGATATAAGCTGTGAAGGAATTTGTGTAGGCTGCTGTTTATTAGGATTAAAAGAATTATTGTACACATGGTTTTCACGCTGTACTCGTTGTGCCGCGGACACTTGCCGCGTCATTATTAACTGGACGCTAGGACTCTTTCTCGCAACAGCATTCGACGACTGATTAATGTGATAACTTTTGTTGGTAGTAGACCCATAACTCGACTGACTAGTAGAAATGTACATTGGTTGAGAAGGTGGAGG